AGATTTTAGTATGAAAATGTAAGATATTTGGTTAATTTTTATATTATTAGATGTTAATATTTTGGGTATACTGGTTTAAATAAAATATATTACTGAAATTAGTTTCACCGGTCTTTTTTTACTGTGGTTACTAGAAAACTTTACATGGGTGCATCACATTATATTCCTATTTATTGGACAGCCTCATCAAGAGCTTCTCGCTCTCGGGTACCTCCTTCTCCAGGTTCCAACCCACTTTAATTCTGTGAGAGTAAGTTCTATGATGCCAAAGACTTTTTACCTATTATTGATTTTGTTTAATAATCAACAAATATTTATTGAGCACATACTGTGTTCCACAGGGGACAAGGGCAGGCTGCTCCAAAATGTGCCACTATGGCACAGTGATTTTTGTTTTAATGTTTATTTACTTATTTTGAGACCGCGTGAGCAAGGGAGGGTCCATGAGGACTAAATGGCGCACAGAACGAAAACGGAGCAGCAGCAGTGGCTGGAGCTGCACCAGGAGTTGTGGGAACAAGTCTCCCGAGAGCTGCTACCGAGGTGCAGCAGGGGAGTCCTACAGGAGACCCGCCGGGTGCAGGGACCCTCGGCGTGGTCTCCATGGACGCCGGGAGTCGGGAGCCCGCGGGTCGTGGCCCCGAGCGCTAGGGAGGCGGTCAGCATCCTGCTCGGCGCTCCCGGCCCCAGTTCGTTCCCTGCGTTGCTGCTGCTCCCGGGTGTGTTTTAATACCCGTCCTGTTCACCACGACCTCACTCCGCACGGCGCCCCCCAACACCCAGCCACAGCCCGGGCCGGAGATCCGCACCAGCCCGCGGTCCCGCGGCCCCTTGCCGCCCTCCGCTCCGGAGCCGCTCGCAACCGGAAGTGGCTCGCAAACGCGAGAGCTCGGGAAAACGGGTCCGCTCTTCCTCGACGGCACAAACACTGGGGTTCCGGCCCGAGAGAGCCCTGGGGCCCCAGGTGCAGGCGGAGGAGGAGGGTGTGGGGGGGGGGCTCCCGAAGGCTATATCCCGGCGGTAGGGACGTTCTCCGAAAGTCGCTGGGCCTCGGGCCGGGGCAAACCTCCAGGATTGCTCAGGAGGCCCGACAGTGGCTATGGGGACAGCCCTCTGCCCCCCCATCCCCGCAACCTCTCATCTGGAGGAAGAAAGAAGGTGAGCAAATTTTGCCGCCCCTTAAATATGCCTGTTAGGGTTATTTTAGGCTGATTATTTAAAAACAAAACAAAACGAAACCAAAAAGGGACAGGAGCTCAGAAAAACAAGTAAAAGTTACCCTTTTGTAAGAAACATTTGCATTTTTTAAGGGAATGTCCATGTAAGGGTGTCTCCCCAGGAAGAGAAGGAAGAACTCTAAAACTCTAGAAACTTCTTGTCGACAAAGTAACAACAAATATGGTAACAATCTCAACCATCTTTACTGTGCTTCACCTGAAAGCCCCCATAATCTTCATTTGCCGACAGGTGGACATTATATTTAAGGTGGTGACTTGCGCCATTTCAAGGAGTGATGCCGTTTTCCTGGGTCTCCCCATGTATACAGGAGGTATACCTGTTACTGTTATGCCCAGAATTCGTGATCCCCGAAGACCACCAGGGAGCCGAGTCCGATGCAAAAGCAAAGAGCCTTTATTCGAGCTAGCTCGAGCTCAGTCCCCTACCTGCACCGACGCAGCGGTGAGATACCGGGGAGAGAGGGAGTTTCAAAAGCACAAAGGTTTTATAGGGGTCTAGGGGCAGTTGGTGAGGTAATGGCTGTGGCCTCAGCCAATTGGCTGGGGAAGGGTGGGAGTCCTGTTACGCAGGTCGCTGGCGTGTTTTGATCAGGAAGTTTGAACGGGTGATCGGGAGGTTACTCAAGGGGAGGAGGCGTGGTCTGAGGTTTCTGTGATTTTCCCAGAAAGGGGGCATGTCGGGGACACAGTCATTCAAGGTGGAGGACACAGAACAAGATGGAGTCCGACGGCGTAGGTCCGCCCATTCATTACTAAACGTCTTTTTCTCCTGTTAACATTTTTATTGGCTGTTGGGGGGACCTTAGCCAAAAAGCTGGAAGGGTAGCTTGGAAGTTATTTTGGCTCTCCCATAAAAGTAAAGTGCAAGACAAGACTGGAGTAAGAGAAAACCATGAAGAATGGAAAAAGGTTGTGGTCATTGTGAGCGACCTATAGCTGCTCATCTCAGCAGTCTCACCAAACTTGGCACCTGGCACAGGTGAGCTCTTGAGAAGTATTACCTGGGTGAATAAGGACAGATCTCAGGGAAAGGAATTAATAGAAAAGAAAGGAGAAGGTGAATCATATTGACTAAATTTAGCCACTTGACGAAACAACTCAAACCATTTTTCCTGTCTGAAATGTATGGCACATCTGCATATTTTAAGGGCCACTGCATACCGGAAGTGGGAGAGAGAGATCTCGGAATAAATATTAGATGAGGAAGCTTATACTCTGGTTAAGAGCATGTGCAATAATAACAAGTAATACAAAATAGAATGTGATAAATAGATTAATAAAACCCTGAGAAGAGAGACATGTTATGAGAATAACAGACTAGTGTTTAGAATGATAGGAAACAATGAGACAACTCCTGGACTTGAGAGGACTCGGGAGACTCACAGTGATTATGGGGTAAGGAGAGGGACATTCTAGAGGGCAGTAAGGCAGATAGGATTGCTAATGGTAGAAAGAAAGGAAAAAATCTAAATGTCTGTCAATAGGAGGGACTGAAAGTCTCTGGTCAGCTCAGGGAATGCACATGTGTTCCAATCAGACTACTTTTTGCCTTACATGGGCATAGGTGATGTCAGGATAAGGCTGTAACCTCTGTAGTACTCAGCCAATGAGGAACCAGGGGACGGACTTGCACACTAGGAGATAAATTGTCTGCTGTAACTGCCCCGAGTGTGCCTGTCCATCAGACACCCACTCTTGTAAGAACATTGATTAAAGCCTTGCTTCACTGTGCTGTGAGTCTCTGCATCCCACCTTTGATCCGGTTGATGGGTTATTTCTAACAATCTTTATTATCCTTGTTAGGAAATAAATCTGCTCCAAAAGGAGATACATCTTTGAAAAGCTGAACTGAAAGAAAATTTGTCAGAAGACTTAGAGAAATGTGAGAAATCCTTGGAGAATTGTTTCCCAACATTCTAGGTAGTAGCATTTGGGGGTAGAGGAAATGTCAGCTTTTATTTATTTATTTATTTACTTACTTACTTACTTACTTACTTAATATTTTTGTGTTTGCTTTATATACATGTAGATTCTCACTTTTATCATATTTTGTTTTAATATTTTAAAATATAATAAAAAACAAAAGGCAAACAAAGAAGTTTAGTCAGCTTTGGTCACTTCTTTGAGTCTTGTAGTTTTATGAGCTCCTGTATGAACAACGCTAAAATTTTGTCCTCCAGTTAAACTGCCTCATGTTGATTTATTAGGCCAACCAAAGAACCAAGAAGGGAAGAGAGAAAGTTTTTCCTCCCCTGCCTCATTACAGCTAATCCATTTTTCTGTTCCCTGGGTTGTCTGTTCGTGCTCTGGGGTCAGATACCTCTGCCCCTTCTCCTTCATGCTCTGCTCTTGATGTTCATTAGGTGTCTTCTCACGCGTGGTATCGCGGTATCGCTTGTATCTGGGAGTGAGTCACGTGCTGGTTACTGTAGGTGGTGTGAACTTCCATTGCAGTGGGAGGAGGCTGCTTCTGCAGCTGGTCTTATCCCAGTGGAGAGTCTCAATCTAGGTCCCACATGAGCAGGCTACAGGCGGCCTTCCTGTAGGATGAGTGAGCAGAGAGCAGGCAGACAGGCCAAGGACCTACCCAATTACCAAAACAGGAACCTTCCTCTAGGGTGCCGGGCTTCAGTGTACTTCACTTTTAGAGAATGCGATCTTTATTTTTCCTCCTCTTTGTTCCATTGTAAATGTCCTGAATCATCTCAAGTTTTGCTATGCTTTGTTCAGTCTCTTGGTAAGAGCCTTTCCGGTTGTTTTAGAAAGTGAGTATCTAGCTGTGGGCAGAGGACGCAAGCCCCAGCGGCCAGCTAGGGAACATCTCCAAACTTCCCCAAATGCAGTTCTTAAATGAATGACCCACTCTTGCCCTTTACAATTGTCGGTCCTGAGGTTTGACCTTCTCTGGTGATACTGAGTGAGGAAGCAAGTGTGAGAATCCAGCCACCTATTAAACCAGACTTCAAAGAGACTAGCAAAAATGTGAAGTAATTCCACTCCCTTCACTAACTTTTTGTTTTAGAAGATATTCTTAGATTCCATAAAATATATTAAAGTTAGCATGTAATGGAAATGTTATTGTTATTTCAAATATTTTTTAATTCCTCAGTTTTAATTTCAAATACAGCAAATCTTGATGGATATGAGCCACATAAAAATAAGCTCTTTGGGGTCCTCATTAGTTTTTAAGAATATAAAAGGAATCATGAAACCAAAATTTTGTTATTTTTTTTAAGTTTATTCTGAGAGAGAGAGAGAGAGACACACACACACAGAGACACACACACACAGAGACAGAGAAAGAGAGACAGCAAGTGGGGGAGGGGCAGAGAGAGAGGGAGAGAGAGAATCCCAAGCAGGCTGACAAGCTCAGCACTCTGCACTGACAGCACAGATGTGGGACTTGATCCTGGGGACCTGTGAGATCATGACCTCAACAGAAATCAAGAGTTGGGGGCTTAACTGACTGAGCTACCCAGGCACCCCGAGACCAAAATTTTAGAAAATTACTATGCTAGTCCATATACTACATATGAAGTGATGCTTCTGAAACTAAAATTCAGAGCAACTGAGGAGAATCTGGGAACACCTTTGAGGTTCCAGGTGTGGAAAATATTTGGAGTGTTATTGTAACAGCACTCCAACTGATCTCAAGGGTGAATTTGCTTCAATTTTATGCACTCCTTGCTTGCTGACCTAAGTCCCTGTGTGTGTGGCAGAAATAACCTGCTTTCCTTGAGATTTGCAGACCACTGGCCTTGAGGAGTGAAGGACGAGACTTTCCCAGAGGATATGGCCTGACCGCATTGGAAAATAGCTTTGGCTTTGCCAGAGAGTCTGTTCAGGGTCATGTCCACATACGACTACCACCTGGGCACCTGCTTCTCCTGTGTGTAGCCCCCTCCCTTTCCCATGCCTTCCCCTTTAAAATTCTCTGGACTATGGGGTACCTGGGAGGGTCAGTCTGTTAAGTGTATGACTTCGGCTCAGGGCATGATCTCACGAGTAGTGGGTTCGAGCCCCACGTCGGGCTCTGTGCTGACAGCTCAGAGCCTGGACCCTGCTTCACACTGTGTCTCTCTCTCTCTCTCTCTCTCTCTCTCTCTCTCTCTCTCTCTCTCTTCCCCTCCCCAGCTCATGCTCTGTCTCTCTGTCTCAAAAATAAATTAACATTTAAAAAAAATTCTCTGGCCTCACCTGGACAGGGAAGATGGTCTTTGACAGATTTGTCCACCCTCTTTACCACCGAGGTAACACCCTCTTTACTACCTGGGAGGTAGTCCACCCAGGTTACCGGCTTCTTGACTAAAGTAAACTTTCCTTTCCCACAATCACTTGCCTCTGAGCACAGATTTTCCAGCAGCGAGCAGCTGACGCTAAGTTTGGAAATGTTTCTCCATCTGGTAACATTAATAGAAATTTGTCCCCTGCTTATAGAAGTGGGGAAAGTACAAGTAACTGGAGTCTAACACTTTTGTGCCTTGGTGGGGCTGCTGTTGTTGTTGGACTTAGCAACTCAGGAAGTTTATGTGTCCTCTAATCCCTGGGGTGGCTAGTTCTAGTAGTGGTGTAAAACATGAAATGCTTTCTTAGGGTCTGGCTCAGTTGGTTAAGCATCTGACTCTTGGTTTGGGCTTAGGTCGTGATCTCACCGTTTGTGGTGAGATCTCAAGCCCTGCACTGGGCTCTGCTTATAGTACGAAACCTGCTTGGGATTGTCTCTCTCCCTCTCTCTCTGCCTGTCCCCTGCTCGCTTGCTCTCTCTCTCTCTCTCTCTCAAAATAAATAAACTTTAAAAATTAAATGCTTTTTTCCATAGTAGGAAGTTAATGCATAATAAAGAATATTTATAAGTGAAAAATCAAGGAATAGCAGTGTTAGTACATTATAAATATAGAGGTTAATATGAAAAGTAAAAGGAAAGAGTTAACTGGATATCTCTAGGGAATAGATATTGGTAGGGAATGGAGGAGTGAGGCCTGGTGTTTTTCACACCATAAAACTAAGCGTACCATTTAGTTTTGTTAACTTTTTTTTTTTTTAAGTAGGCTCTATGCCCAACATGAGGCTTGAACTCACAACCCTTGAGATTGAGAGTTGCATGCTCTACCAACTGAGCCAGCCAGGCGCCCCCAACGTAATAAATTATTTTTAAGTTTATTTATTTATTTTGAGAAAGAGAGAGAGCATGCAAATAGGGAAGGGGCAGAGAGAGAGGGAGACACAGAATCTGAAGCAGGCTCCAGGCTCTGAGCTGTCAGCACAGAGCCCACTGGGGAGCTTGAACTCACGGACCATGAGATCATGACCTGAGCCAAAGTCAAACGCTTAACCAACTAAGCCGCCCAGGTGCCCCACCAACATATTTTCAAGATTCATCCTCATTATTCATCTATTAGTAGCTTCTTTTTATTTCTGAGTAGTATATATTGCATGAACATTACACTATTTCACTCTCTATTCTCCTATTGATGAACATTTGGGTATTTCCAGTTTGGACCTATTATGAATAGAGCTGCTGTGGACTTGTGTTTTCATATGTCTTAGCTAAATGTCTAGAAGTGAGATTACTGGATCAGAATGTAGGCATTATTTAACTTCATTAAAAATTGCCAGTTGTTGAAATTAGCATACCATTTTAATTCCCACTAGCATTGAATAACAGTTCCAATCGCTTCATATCCTCACCAGTACTTGGTGCTGTTAGACATTTTAATTTTAGCCATTCTAACGGATATGTAGTGGTTTTAATGTTTTGTTGTGATTTTTGTTATATTTCCCTATATGACGTTGGGTACCTTTTCATGTACTCATTGGCCATTCACATATCTTCTTTTGTACAGTGTCCGCTCAGATCTTTTACCTACTTATGTTAGTTTGTCTTATGATTGAGTTGTGAGTGTCCTTTGCATACTCTGTATACTAGTTGTCAGAAATCTGTATTACACATGTTTTCCAGGCTGTAGCCTCTCTTCTCAC